TGTTGCAGCTCAGGCACAGAGAGGAGATTCACCCTTCCTCTGCCTTTCTGTTCTACTCAGGCCCTCATTAGATTGGATGATGTCCACCCGCATTGTTGATGGTAATCTTCACTCAGTCTGCCGATCCAAATGCTAATATCTCCCAGAGACCCCCTCACAGACACACCCAGAAATAATGGTTTACCAGCTATCTGAGCATCTGGTAGGCCAGTCAAGTTCATACATGAAATTAGCCATCACCCAAACCAAGGTAACAGCAGATTAATTTAAAACAGGAAGTGCATTAATGGCCTCTTCATCATGCATGCCTCTTTTCTCATGCAATTCATGCATCATTCCTGAGCTGTATCTGAGCTTCCCAGGAGTGTACATCGTGAAAGAGCAGTGTGTCTCTACATTACTCTGGACTCTCCATTGCTCTGCCATTAAATCTCAGATAATGGGAATGAGACGTCTGTGGTCTCTTAACATGCCTTCTGAAATTCTAGGAACTTTATGCTTTAAGGAAAAGTTTTTCTTGGTCATAGTTTTTATAGTTACAAACTACAGAATAAAATAATTGAAACTCTTCTAGTGTCATTATAACTTTTCCTAGGTAAATACAGAACCTATTACAGAGAAGGTATTATTTCAGTTACTATTATCATTTACAAGCTACTTTTAAAATATATTGCAGCTGTGCTGTGTGCGTGTGTGTGTGTGTTTGGGTTATTTAACATTTTTCAGATTCCTGTAAGATAAACCTAGTTTATACCACATTTTTTCAATTTTTAGGCATTTTTTTTCACATTCCAACAGCTCTGAAGTCATGAAGCATCTGAGAATGAGTATCATGTCATTGCTTAATGGGCAGGTTATTTTTTGTTTTTTTTTAATTGAAGTATAATTGATTTACAATGTGTTAGTTTCTGGTATACAGCAAAGTGACTCAGTTATATATATATATTTTCTTTTTCATATTCTTTTCCATTATAGGTTGTTAGAAGAGATATTGAATACAATTCCCTGTGCTATACATTAGGACCTTGTTGTTTATCTATTTTCTATACAGTAGTTTGCATCTGCTAATCCCAAACTCCTAATTTATCCCTCCCCCTTTGATAACACTTTGATAACCATAAGTTTGTTTTCTATGTCTGAGTCTATTACTGTTTTGTAAGTTCATTCGTATCTTATTTTAGATTTCACACATAAGTGATATCATATGATATTTGTCTTTCTCTGTCTGATTTACTTCACTTAGTATGATAATCTCTAGGTCCATCCGTGTAGCTGTAAATGGAATTTTTTCATTCTTTTTTATGGCTGAGTATTCCTTTGTGTGTGTGTGTGTGTGTGTGTGTGTGTGTGTGTGTACACACACCACATCTTCTTTATCCATTCATCTGTCGATGGACATTTAGGTTGCTTCCATGTCTTGGCTATTGTAAATAGTGCTGCTGTGAACATAGGGGTGCATGTAGCTTTTTGAATTAGAGTCTTTTCCAGATATATGCCCAGGAGTGGGATTGCTGGATCATACAGTAACTCTGTTTTTAGTTTTTTAAGAAACCCCCATACTGTTTTCCATAGTGGCTGCACCAATTTACATTCCCACCATCAGTGTAGCACGGTTCCCTTTTCTCCACACCCTCTCCAGCATTTATTATTTGTAGACTTTTTAATGATGGCCATTCTGACCGGTGTGAGGTGACACCTCATGGTAGTTCTGATTTGCATTTCTCTGATAATTAGTGATGTTGAGCATCTTTTCATGTGCCTCTTGGCCATCTGTATGTCTTCTTTGGAGAAATGACTGTTTAGGTCTTCTGCCCATTTTTTGATTGGGTTGTTTGTTTTTTGTTATTGAGTTGTATGAGCTATTTGTGTATTTTGGAAATTAAGCCTTGTCGGTCACATCACATGCAAATATTTTAGTTTATCTTCAAATTAATGGTATGTGATGGTTAATTTTTTGTGTCAACTTGCCTGGGCCATGGGGTGCCCAGACATTTGACCTAACATCATTCTGGGTGTGTCTGAGGGTGTTTCTGGATGAGATTAACATTTGAACTGATAGACTGAGTAAAGTAAATCGCTTTCCCTAGTGTGAGTGGATCTCATCCAGTCAGTCGGAGACCTAAGTAGAACAAAAAGGCTGAGTAAGGGGTAGCTCCTCCTGCTTGATTGTTGAGCTGGGATACTGGTCTTTTCCGGTTTTCTCAGTCTCACTGAAACACTGGCTCTTCTTGGGTCTCAAGCCTGATGACTTTTGGACTGGAATTACAAATTGGCTCTCCTGATTCTCTAGCTTGCTGACTGCAGATCTTGGAATTTTGCAGCCTCTATAATTGCATGAGAAAATTCCTTATAATAAATTATATATAGATATACATACATATTATTGGTTCTGTTTCTTTGGAGAACCAAGACTAATACAGATGGGGTCCTAAATTATAAAATATGATGATTGAGGGTATGCTGAACTCCCTCTACTTGAGAGTCATAGTGGATTTGGAGAGTGTTCACACCAAACATAATCATGGGAGTTGAGCTGTAAGGGAGAAGATGCTACTGTTCTATACCAGGATAGCTTTCTAGCAATGGGGAGTCAAGGTTTGGGGGTTGTTATGCCAGGAGGGACAGTGTTAGAAAGACATAGTTTTCTTCCCAACTCTGTTGTGTACTTCCTGTGTGACTTTAGATAGGTCACTTAATCTACCTGGGATTGGTTTCCTTCTCTGTAACATGAGCTGGTTGGACTAGGTGATTTCAAAGGCCCTTTCCGTTTCTCAGATTCTTAGGAATTGATTCTTCTGTTTCAGTGAGGGGAGATGGCATAAGGTATAAATAATGACTCTCTTGCAAAGGGCTAAAATATCACTAATAATATCTGACTCCAGGAGTGTTGATTATCTACTCAACAAGACAATCTGATGATCAGTTTGATTTCCTGGATTGTAATGTTTGTGCCAAGAATAGTAGCCCTCGGGTTTGTGTTTCCGTAAAATTTGAAGCCAAGGTCAGGAAGCATCACCTTCTGAAATAAAATGTTCAAGTTCACCCCAAGAGGTTTTCTAGCCAGTAATCAACTTGTGGGGGTGTTGAGATAAGGCCGTGGGGCTCCTGATGTCCAGTAAAGGGTCTAGGTTCATCGTTGGGAAGGAAGTCCCCAGTATAAGATGGAATAAGAGGAACATAAGCCATAGTTGTAGAATACATTACTCATCTTTGATTGAGAAGGCTTATAGGGAAGGGTATTTCAGTGACTGGTATGAGGGTGGGTATTGAGAATTGGTCTTTATCCAGTTTTGTTTAAGGAAGTGAGAGATGTGGTACCTGAGCAGGCCTGAGTGTTCTGGTTCCTAGAAAGCAGACCCTGATGAAATAAATGATGAGTGAAACATCTCGCTTGCCACCTAACTCCTGTGCCTGAGCTTAGATTTAGTGCTGACCATTCAGCCTCCTGATTAAAAATGTAAGTTTCCCCGAACTATGATCTTAGGCTATGGGTGCTCCAGGCAGCATACTAATCTTCTGTTATAACGTAATAAATTGATGCTGTTACCAGAAGGGGAACCCCTTCCAGGGCCCAAGAGTGGGCTCTTGTCTAACACCCGGGAATGAATTGTCCGAGGAGACACACATGCTGACAAAGCAAAAGACTTTATTGGGAAGGGGCCCCCTGGGGGGAGAGCAGCGGGCAAAGGAAACCCAGGAGAACTGCTCTGCCACGTAGCTCACATCTCAGGTTTTATGGTAATGGGGTTAGCTTGCCGGGTTGTCTCTGGCCAGTCATCTTGCTTGTGCCCATATTTGGTCCAATTCCTGGTGACGCACGCATCTCTCAGTCAAGGTGGTTTCCAGCGTCAGGGTTTCTGGGACATCGGCAGGACATATTATGGCTGGCATCTCCTCCCTCCTTTTGGCCCCTCCCGATTTCTGCCAGCTGGTGGTAGCTGGTCAGTTCCGTGTTTCTTATTGAGACCTCCTGTTGTGAGATAACTCGTGCAAGCAGTTATTATTCTGCCTGGCCAGGGTGGGCGGTTTCAGTTAGTGGTTCCCTAAAAATACTACTGTGACATCAGTTGGTGACTTACGTATTTAGCTGGTGTGGATCAATTCCCAAGGGCCCATCAGGTATGTACCTGAGCCAGCCCTTGGGGCTCTGCGCAAAGCGCCTGCCAGCCTTCGCTCCAGCTGTCTCAGCTGTAGAAGAGTCTAGTGAGAAAATGTATCCTTAAAAGCCTATGGCATTTCAGAGAAGGAAAAAATACATCTGATGAGGAGACTGACAAGGCTTATGCAGAGGTAGTCAGGGATGACATTTTAGGAAGATCCAGTTTGAGCAAAAGCCCTGAGGCAGGCACACAGCAAGTAAGTTTGGTTTGACTAGAACATAGGTTGTGTAAGAGGACTAGATAAGACGTGTGTTTCCACTGAATATGGTTCGTCCCCTGAAATACTGTGAAGTAAAAGTAGTTAAGCCCTTGAATGTTTTAAGATTATTCCATTTCAGTGGATCAATACCAAATAGTAAGTTTAAAGTTATCTTTCCTTAGGGAACATATGACCCTAGGCAGGCTTATTAGACAGCACTACGTATGATGTTGAAAGGGCAGCATAATCTTTTATCTCATTTCTAGGTTTGAAATAATTTTCCTTAACCAGAGGGGAGGAGAGCAAGTATGTTAACAATAATCTTTGGAAAATAATAATCTTTTATCTTAGAAAAAGTAAAAATCAAAGATTACTAGTACTGTTTTAGGGGGAAAAAGGAATAAAAATCATAAGTAATCCCATTACCTAGAGAATCATCACCATATTTATTGCTGATCCTTCCAGACTTCTATGCAAAAATGAGATCAAACATACAGATCTTTTCTAACTTATTTCTTTCCCTTAGAATTTTCCCCCAGAATGTAAGTTCCTTGGAGCTAGAATCCAGCATCCTTTGTTAGGTCCTATTCCTATGTCCTGGGAAGCAGTCATTGAGACCATGCTCTTGCTTCTGTTTTCAGGTTGGCAGCCTCGGTGGTTCCTTCTCTGTGGGGGAATATTATCTTATTATGATTCTCCTGAAGATGCTTGGAAAGGTTGCAAAGGGAGCATTCAGATGGCGGTGTGTGAAATTCAAGGTGAGAAGCCAAGACACTTGCAGGTTTTATTTTTCTTTCTGTTTCTCCCCCAAAATAAAAAAAACCACTGGCTTCTGTGTGCCTTTCTTTGCTGCTCCCATAGCATAAAGATATATAATGTTACGTCCCCCAGAAAAAGTCTTACAAGTAAGACCTAAAACTGCAGCGAGTTTTTACAAGGAGCTTGGTTTAGAGGTAGTCAGAATAAATGAGAGCAATGTGCTTAGTAACCACACATGTAGTGCTCATTCCTTGGTCACCTGCTCACCTCGGGCTTGTGGCAGTTTGCTAAGCTTATTTGTCTTTTTATTGCAACATCAAACACTTCTGTGTTTAAATCACGACGCATACACACCTTCTCACCACCACCACCATGCTCAAAACTAAACAAGCAAACACCTGACAGACCTACAAATAGCCTTTTCTTCTTGGTTTTGAGAATCTTGAGACATGCTGAGAGGATGTGGCTCAGAAACCGACTAGAAGGGAATTTGGGGCATGGGGCTCGGGGGGTGGAGGAGAGTGTGCCTTGCTTGTTTCTTCTCCTAAAGTGTTCTAAGGGAATTCTCACATTTTTGATAAGACTAGTGAAGGAAAGTAGAAAGGAAAACTATTGTGTTCTTGATTGCTTTTCAATAACCCAAGGAGATAAAGAGCACATCCTTACTTGTTTGCATCAAGCCTTTTTGGCCACAGAGCAGCATACTTTACACACACACACACACACACACACACACACCAGAAGAGAGATTTTTCCTCTCTCCTCTTATAAATGATCCTAAGGAGATTTAAGTGATTCTTTTTTAGGCCAAAGTCCTGGTGAGACCTTGGAGCCAATTGCAGTTTTCCCTCTCCATTAGCAGAGACCTCTAGGAAGAGATAAATAAACCAGGAGAAGTAGTAAGGGCTGACATCCTCTCTTGGAAGAAGCTCTCAGTGACTGGCGCGCCAGTTAAGCTCAAGAATTTGGGTGGAGTGGAGGCTACCCAGATAGGGCTTTTCTGGGTTTCTGACCTCTCTATGTCTTGCTCCCAGTTCATTCTGTAGATAACACACGCATGGACCTGATAATCCCTGGGGAACAATATTTCTACCTGAAGGCCAGAAGTGTGGCTGAGAGACAACGGTGGCTGGTAGCCTTGGGGTCAGCCAAGGCTTGCCTGACAGACAGTAGGACGCAGAAAGAAAAAGGCAAGTATTGATTGTCCTCTGGACTGGGAACCCTGGGAATCACCTAGTGGCATCTCTGGGTTCCCATATTTGTTATCTTGCTTCTGACCACCTAGCCATAGCCAGCTTTTTTTCTTTTTTTTAAAGTAGTTATGTATTCAGTAGTTTATTTATTTATTTTTGGCTGTGTTGGGTCTTCGTTTCTGTGTGAGGGCTTTCTCTAGTTGCGGCCACTCTTCATCGCGGTGTGCCGGCCTCTCACTATCGCTGCCTCTCTTGTTGCGGAGCACAGGCTCTGGACTCGCAGGCTCCAGCGGCCATGGCTCACGGGCCTAGTTGCTCCGTGGCATGTGGGATCTTCCCAGACCAGGGCTCGAACCAGTGTCCCCTGCTTTGGCAGGCAGATTCTCAACCACTGCGCCCCCAGGGAAGCCCCCATAGCCAGCTTTTTATATCATGCAAGTGCTGTATATCTCAGTGGACCTTAAACAGTCTATACCTGACTCTTCTTTCTTAGCATGTCATAGTAGAAAGAATGCAGGTTTTGGAGCCAGATACAACTGGGTTCAAATCATGGCTTTGTGACCTTGACATAGGTCACTTAACCTCTCTAATCTTCAGTTTCCTTATATTTTGAAAAGAGGTAATTACCTATCTTAGAAGGATTACCATGAGGTACCTCGTCTGGCACAAAGTTGACTTTTGGTAAAGAGTAGCTGAGCCAGAGAAGCCTTGGATGTGGTATTTCCTGCAGTAACAGCCCGCTTTCCCCGCCCTGTTCCTGGGGTAGATGGATACTTAATTGTCAGGTTGCTGCTGCTTAATGCTCGTTGACTCAACATCATTAGGTCTCCTGAGAACCACGGCATAACTTTCTATTTTGCCTGGGTCACGAGTGCCAGGGCTTACTGCCTGAGCTCTGCCTTCCCAGCCCCCCAGCCTCGAATGTACACCTGAAAAGATTGGTGGGAGAGAGGGGCCTCTGGGAACAAGTGTTTCAGGGGACCTTTCTCATGACACATATGGCAGATGTGCTTAACTCTTCAAGTAGACACAGTAAAATGACCTATTTGTTGGTTGTTTTTCAATGCTAAGTCGAGAGCAAATTCTAGACACTGTCAGCTCTGACTCAGATCAGGTGGTAATGTGCAGCTTTTTCACGGAGAAGCAAGCAGAGGCAGTTACGATTGTAGCCGAGCCCTCAGCGCCAGGATGGCTGGAGTGCCGTGCTAATGAAGGAGCAGCAGGTGTGCAGAGGGTGCCGTTCGCCTTGCCAGGCAGCATGCTGGACCAGTCCTCTGAATTCACAAGCTGTCTTATTAGTGGTAATTGCATGTTACAGAACACTGTTTCCCAGTTTTGAGCACTGGATAGATAGCTGTGACCCCATTTTACAGATAGGAAAATTGTGGCAGAACTGAGGCCAAAACCCTGAACCCTTGACTGTTCCCAGTTCTGACACAAGTGGATCAGAGGTATACTGTCTCCTTCTTCCTGTACTGGTGATCATTAAATATGTTGGCTCAAGAAATAATGTAGATTACTTCAGAAGACTAGAAATCTCCTTCTTCTCTTTTTCTTGCTCCCATAACTTCAAATATGTCATATCTGTAACCCATACTATAAACATCTGACTTTAGGCATAGATTATATTTCACTTATCTGTATAGTATGCTAACTAGTATATCAGTTATTTATTCTGGGAATTAAATTACGTTTTCATCGTTTTGTTATTTAGAGTTTGCTGAAAACACTGATAACTTGAAAACTAAAATGTCGGAACTAAGACTCTACTGTGATCTCCTTGTTCAGCAAGTAGATAAAACAAAAGAAGTGACCGCAACTGGTGTGTCCAATTCTGAGGTAAAATACCATTCTTCTTAGCCACGTGACAAGTAGCCCCAGATGTTGCTTACAGGTGCTGCTTATTCTCACATAATCCCTACCTTGGAATTTACTGTTTTTCAGAGAAAAAAAGTGACAGACTTCAACAAAGAGAAGAAGTGTGTGCATTTCAGCATATGGAAGCGTATAGTTTTCCTTCCTGGGATGAATTCAGGATTAATTAATTGCTAATTTTGGAACTTTTAACTTTAGTACTGATGTACTAAAATATGTGTCTCTCCAGTTTGCATAACTTTCTAAAATATAGCCTTAGCTGTCTGGCAGAGCCATTTCTATACTACGCATGTGGCTCCGAAGGTGACAGCATCATGTCTGTCAGTAATATGTATCTGTCACCTCTGATGAGACTGTAACAGGATTTTATTTCACCGTAATAGATGTTCTGCTTGAGTAGAGACTAGTGCTTTCAAAGATAGAGACACAGCTTTATTTCTCTCCATCATCAGCAAGGATTGTGATTTTTATCATTTATTAATGAAATTGTTATTTACTCATTCTAAAACATATATTAAAAGATCTATCTGGTGTTAAGCTATGTATTGAATGGTTCACATTAACCAGAGAGGGGTCTCTGCTCTGCTCTCAGAGAAGTTATCTGAAAAACAGTGCCCACAAAATGAAGAATCTGTAGATTATAATTAATGGTTTTAAATTACTTTTCTTAGGTAGTGTATCACTATGCTACTAGTAATATATGTGCTCTAAGTTTTTCTAATAAAGGTGGTTTAACTCACTTTCACTCACTTTTTGGGGGTCTCTCTTACTCATTCAGCAACTGCCTATCGTGTACGAGATAACTGTGCTGCGGGAGGGAGATGGGAGGGGTACCAAAACACTTCAGTCCTGCTTTTGGGATGTTAGAGACTAGAGCATTGATTCTCAACCCAGAGCAGTTTTGCTCCTCAGGAGACATTGGGCAACCTCTGAGACACTTTTGGTTGTCACTGCTGGGGGAGTGCTGTTGGCATCTAAGGGGTAGAGGCTGGACGCTGCTTAATATCTGCAATGCATAGGAGAGCCACTCCCCCTATATCCCCTGCTCCAGTAAGCCAGCCCCAAATGCCAGTGATGCCAAGGTAGAGAAGCCCTGTTCTAGTAGGAAGGGAAAAAGTGAACACAGCAATGTTTAATTCTAGGAAGTGTTTATAGTAAGTGCCTTGGGAACTTGCTTATGAAACTGTGGTTATGATATTGTGATTTATAATAAGAAATATATGTTTGGTCTTTGTCTAGTTTTTGGCACAGAGCTCCAAAAAATAACCCTTGGAATTTCCAGGTGATAAAAAGTGTCTTTGTTATGTTAATTGGAAAATACTAAGGATAGAGGCTCTGGTTGACTGTAGACCCAAGCAAGTGATTAGAGGGTTGGAACTTTCATTCCTACCCCCTCCCCTCCTGGGAGGGGAGAGGGACTGAAGATTGACTTCAGTCACCCTTGGCCAATGATTTAATCAATCGTGCCCATTTAACGAAGCTTCCATAACCCACAGCATGGGGTTTGGAGAGCTCCCGAGTTGGTGAATATGTGTTGACTGGGGAGAGTGGCATACTCAGGGAGCATGGAAGCGCCAAGCCCCTTCCCACATGCCTTGCCCTATGCATCTCTCCCATCTGGCTGTTCCTGAGTTATATGCTTTTATAATATACTGGCAGTCTAATAATTTAAATGTTTCTTTTAGTTCTGTGAGCTGCTCTGGCAAAGTAATTAAACACAAGGAGGGGGTTGTTGGAATCTTCAGTCTAGAGTGGGTCAGTCAGTAGCACAAGTGACACCCTGAACTTGCCATTGGTGTCTGAAGTGGGGGTGGGGAGCAATCTTGTAGGACTGAGCGCTTAACCTGTGAGATTTGACACTATTTCCAGGTAAATTGTGTCAGAATTGTAAGACACCCGGCTGGTGTCCAAGAATTTCTTGGTGGTGTGGAAAAAAACCACACATTGTAATTGGTGTCTGAAAAATAGTGGTTCACGACCAGTAACATCTAGCTTGTTAGAAATACAAAATTGAGGAAAATATAGAGGCTATGGCTAAAGAACAAAATTCAACTGAGTAAAATTTAAAGATCTTATTAGCTTTATTCAGCAATTCATAAATCAGGCAGCGTCCAGTCTAGCAGGTAGAAAGGAGCTGTGAAGAGCTATACCAGGCTAGAGATCTTTATGGACCAAAGTGAGCAGGAACAAGGAAGTTATACTGGGCATTTGCTGAATGGTTAAAGCAGGGTTACTTTTCTTATATGGAGCAAAGGGAAGTCTTGGAGCCAGGTCAGTACACTAACTTGTGCTGAGCAGGCAAGCACTGATTGGTTGACCTAGGCCTGCCTTTTCTGGGAGAGCCCAGCATAGAAACTTGGATAAGTTTTTGGTTTGCTGTTGTGAGACTTAGCATGAGTGACTCCATCTTGGGCCCAATCTGGTAACTTTAATGCCACTAAGATGTGGTTACCAAACTCTCTAGTCAGGGGGTAGCCTCAGTTTCCTGAACAACTTATTAATATCAATATCCAGAGGAAAAACAACCTGAGCAAGTAAAATAACTTGGAGAAAAAAATGATTAGATATTCAGAATAATTCCAGTTGCTGAAACCTCTTAGACTCATCTGTACTGAAAGACTCATCTGTACTGTGATTTGTGGTTTCTAATGCTTCTATTCTAGAACTTCATTTTTACTCAGACAGTGGGAGACATTTTTCCATTGATCCCCCTGGTCTTCAGTCCATGTAATTCTGTTTGGTGTCTGCCACCCCTTAGAGACCGCAAACTCCACAAGGGCTCAGCGCCTAGCACCTGACATACTGCTGTCATATAGTGTTGTTGAGTTGAGAGAAGTCGTTGCCTTCAGTTGGAGTGGTGGGTGAGCATGAAGGGCAGATTGAGGGTAAGGCTTGCGTATGATTAATAGATAAGTTGGACTTGCTCAGTCTTTTTCTTTTATAACTGATACCCATATTTGTCCAGCAAAATAGACGGGTACACGATTATTGTTATCACCCGTTATTAGCTGGATAAAACCTCTAAGGACATTCCACAACTGGGCTTTTTCCTTTTTGGCAAGGTAAAGGAGTCTTCACCTTGGTTGTTTTGTAGGAGGGAATTGATGTGGGAACTCTGCTGAAATCAACCTGCAATACTTTTCTGAAGACGTTGGAAGAATGCATGCAGATCGCAAACGCAGCCTTCACTTCTGAGCTGCTCTATCGCACTCCCCCAGGATCACCTCAGCTGGCCATGCTCAAGTCCAACAAGGTAACAGACCAGGTCAGCTTGGCTGCAGTAGGGCATGATGAAAAGTTAAGAAAGTGATATGCTGAGCTAAGTGCTCCATCACCCTTTGGCAACCGATAAAGACATTTTTGTAGTGGACTTTCTTTTATGTCCACTATTATATATGCCCTTAGTCCCTCGTATCCAGTCAGTTAGTGTTGGCAGTTTTACCACCTGAACATGTCTCTCTCTGATGTAGCTAGTTTCTCGTCTCCAGCCTCCTTGTCCAGGGAGTCTTGTTGAGATTGGTGATAGCCTTCTAACTAGTTGCCTTCAACTTGACTCTTCCAGGCAGCCTACAGTGTTTCTGTTCATGCAGTGTAAATTGGGCCACTTCACCTAAAACTTTTAGTGGCTCCCTCATTGCCTACAGGTTAAAGTCAAAACGTCTTAGCCCCTTCCCACATCACCAACCTCTTTCTTTTTCATAACCTGGCTTGAACGTTATTAACTGCTTGTAGCTCCCCCACTTCTTTGGGCCATTTCCCAGTACCAGGAATGCCCTTCTCACCTGTCTTTCCCTGCTTAGCTCTTATTCATCCTTTAAAATTTAATCTCTCTTTCCCTGAATCCCTTAGTTGGGCTAAGAGTTCCTCCTCTACGCATACCCCTATTTTAGCCTTATTCTATATTGAAAGTACCTTAAGGGCAAGAACCCCATACTGTTTACCTTTATGCTTCCAGTGTTTGATACAATGCTGTATCATAGTTTGGTATTTAATAATATTTAATGAGTGTAATAGTAATTACAAGAAAGCTAACCACCAAGGGTATAAATACGGTAATTAGGCCCTTCAAAAGACCATCTTCCTTTTTCTTAGAAATTTGGGTATCCTTATTTGAGACTGGTTGGGATCAATGACTCCTTTCTTTTGGGAAGACCTAAAATTATTCCTCTTGAGTGGGGCAGTGTGTGTTATGATCATATTTACCACTTTCATATGTGATAAAACTCTAAATATATTCTGTTGGGAGTTTAACATGTGAATTTTCTTTTCTTTGCTTCTTTTAAAGATGAAACATCCTATTGTACCAATTCATAATTCATTGGAAAGGTACAGTAACATTTTTTGTTTTTTCCTCTTTCTAAAAATATAAAAATAAGGATATTGGTATTCCTTTTTTTTTTTTTTTTTAAGAAATTACGTGGTGGGCTTCCCTGGTGGTGCAGTGGTTAAGAATCCACCCGCCAATGCAGGGGACACAGGTTCAAGCCCTAGTCCAGGAAGATCCCACTTGCCGCGGAGCAACTAAGCCCGTGTGCCACAACTACTGAGCCTGTGCTCTAGAGCCCACGCGCCGCATCTACTGAAGCCCACGTGCTCTAGAGCCCGTGCTCCGCAACAAGAGAAGCCACCGCATTGAGAAGCCCATGCACAGCTACAAAGAGTAGCCCCTGCTCACTGCAACTAGAGAAAGCCCATGTGCAGCAACAATGACCCAACACAGCCAAAAAGAATAAATAAATTTTAAAAAGAAAAGAAAAGAAATCATGTGGTGGTTTTTCTCATGGTTTGAGATGATACCAGAGGTGAACCTGAAGCACTGCAAATCTTTCATTCAGCACTGACTACTAGGGAAGATGCTTGCATTTCCCCAGGATGTGGATCTCACCCACCACATCTAATAACTTTTCATTTCTCTGCTGTACTGAGTATTGGAACCTCCTCTCTTGTGAAGGAGCCGAACATTGATTTAAATGTGGTTTTATCAGAAAAGACAGTGCTATTTTGTTTCATTGAAAAATACAAATCCTAGGTAGCTTTACAGGTTGGAAAAAGAACATAATATCAAAATCTGAACTACTGAAAAAAAGTACACTTTTACACAGTTGTGTTCCTATTATTTAGGGTCTTTATTCAGTTATTATTTCATATAAGCATTCCTGTATTTTGACATTGTCCATGTATTTGTCCTTTCAAGTTATTATTTAATATTTTCATCTCTTTATATACAGTTGTTTGTTTCTTTAGTACAAGGATTGTTCCCCAATTTGGTTAATAATTTTCTCCTGATCTAAATATTTCTACTAGGAACATCTTTGTAGATTTTTTTTTCTTTTGAGGTATTTCATCAATATACTCCTATATTTTTAATTGCCAAGTTGAAATACGGTATTTTTTTAGAAAAACAAATGCTTTTCCTGGAGTCCACATGTAGCTTGGACCTTTTCCCTTTATTCGTATTTGAAGAAAATGGTTTTGTTCTAATTTGGCTGAGTCTAGTTATTTATAATAAGATGTTATGATTGTCCCTTTAACAGAATCAGTTATTTCACTTGCATGTTAAGTAGCCTTTCATGTTACCTTAAAAGAGCAACAGATACTCAGGATGTATTGTGTCCTCCTGGGTTTTTTTGGTCTTCCTTGACCACAGCTGTGGCTTCTAGACAGTTAACTGCTAGGCAAACAAATGGAAGTGGCCAGTGATTTGAGAGGTGAGGAGAGAGGAAAAAACCTTCCAGGGAGAAGCTGAGGAAAGTGAGAAAAAGTGTTGAATGTGGTACCTGTAGAAAAGCTGATTGAAAACCCAGGTGCTATCAGTGAATATTTCCTGCTGCTGGTGGGGAGCAGGAAGTTGGAGTCAGCTGAGGGTGCATGAAGAGCCATGAATGGCTCTTTGGTCTCTGAACTTCAGCCTGGAGACAGGCCTGCTCCCAGCACAGGAGGATACCCGCCTTTGAGGCAGGAGGGTGGGGTGAGAGATTTGGCTTGACTTAACAGTTCTGTTTTTCAATCAGTGTTAAAAGGAGTTGGTAGTTGTGGTTGTGGACCCTTCCCCATCCCTCAGAATAGGACCTATCTGTGCAGTCTATTTGTGACCAAATAATTGGACTTCTTGGCTTTTTTCCTTTTAAAAAAATTTTAGGCAAACAGAGTTAAACAGTTGTGAGAATGGATCTTTACATATGGAAATAAATGATGATGAAGAAATCCTAATGAAAAACAAGAGCTCCTTATGTTTGAAACCTGCAGAGACAGATCGCAGCATATCAAGTGAAGAAAATACAGATGATAATGTAACAGGTAAAAACAAAAAAGATGTGAGGCAAACCATTGAATAAAAGGATCATGGGGCTTTGATTCATTATCCATGATGCGACACTTGATAGGGACTGACCTCAAGACAGCGTGCTAGGTAGCTCCCGAGGCAGCTGTTCGTAAGATAACAGAGTTCACTTGAAAACGTTCTGCCATCCCACCTGACCCCCCTATTGAAAAGGCAGAATGAAGAGGAGTTTCCCACTCACTGTTCTTAGCTGTGATGTCCATGGGCTTCAGTGAGCTGTAGCTGTCTGTGCTGACTTTTTAGAGAGTATGAGTATTAGGGCCTTCTGCTCAGAATTTCAAAGTCCATTGAACATAGACTATGATGTGAGACTTAAGAGTCTGCAGAGTTATGGCAGTTCAGTTTTCCATCCTCCTGGTTTCTGGTGAGGCCTGCGGATGTCCGAATTCACCAACCACCATCAGACTTTCGCCTGGCCGTCTCTGTGTTCATCAAGCCAAATTCCCAAGTTTTAGGTAATAACCTGTAGTTGAAAGTGCTGCCCTTTTCGATTTACTAATCTCATTGGCTCTAACTACTAAAACCAACTTCAGATCAGTCCATGACAATCACCTTAGAGTTTTTAATTGTGTTATAAGTGTGTATTAAATAGTTTGAAAATAAAATTTTTTTGAAGTTTCCTCCTCATCTCCTCTGGTGAGTGGGGGGAAGAAAAGATGCATTTTCATAGCTGTTAACCTGCAGCAAGCAATCCATACATCACTGAAGTCTTATCCCTTGAGTAAATAATAGACAGGAGAATTTCTGTTAAAACAGTACTATTATTTATTTGACCCAATAATTTTTTTCTAGGAATTTGTCCTCAGGGAATAGTCAGATTTAAAGACAAATATATATGGACAGGGATGTCCTTTATGACGTTACAGTTAATTCTCATTACTCATGGTAGTTTTGTTCTATAAAGTCACTGCAAACACTGAATTAGAAAATACTGAACCGTTGCTTCTAGGGGAAATACATGGTTAGGTTCCCGCAAGCCTCTTTTCACATTTTCATCAACTGATCAGAACATATTGTTGTTTTGTGTGTTTCTGTTTAAAGACACCTTGTTGGGGAGACGGATAAATTGGAAGATTGGGATTGACATATACATACTAGTATATATAAAATAGGTAACTAGTAAGGAACTACTGTATAACACAGGGGACTCTACTCAGTACTCTGTAATGGCCTATATGGGAAAAGAATCTAAAAAAGAGTGGATATATGTATATGTATAACTGATTCACTTTGCTGTACACCTGAAACTAACACAACATTGTAAATCAACTATACTCCAATAAAAATTAAAAAGAAAAGAGTCCCTCCTCCTAAAGGAAAAAAAAAAAAGATACCTTGTTTATATATATTGTTGACTCGTTAACATTGAACCCATGGCCAACAGCACTATAACTCATGCCTGAACGAAGCTTATCTCTTTTTTTTTTTTTTTTTTTGCGGTACGCGGGCCTCTCACTGCTGTGGCCTAGGCCCAGCGGCCATGGCTCACAGGCCCAGCCGCTCCACGGCACGTGGAATCCTCCCAGACCAGGGCACAAACCCACGTCCCCTGCATCGGCAGGCGGACTCTCAACCACTGCGCCACCCGGGAAGCCCACGAAGCTTATCTTATATAAGCTTATATAACACGTGTTTTTCCATTAGGCACATCACAGCCTTCTTGTGCTTAGGAACACTAGGCAGCACTACACTTGGGGGTCCTTTTAAACAGCAAAATCAACAACAAAATGCACAAGAATGCCAAAAAAAATGGCACTAAATAAACACATTTGCGTACAGTATGAAAGGCGAAACAAGAAGGCAGAGCGTCACCTTGTTCGACCTCAGCTGGGAACATGCGTGTCAGGTAACTCAAATTTTTTCACCACTCTGCACATATCCAGAATGACTGCAAGAGTGCCATGAGCATTGATTTTAGTATTACAAATAAACTTCAGCAAGTAGGCAAATCCACAAAGACAGAATACACTAATATTGAGGCTCAACTCTACTTATAATACTGAAATTTTAGAAACTACCTAAATGCCCACCACATAAACATGATTCAATATTACATGGTCATTAAAACCATGTTTTGAAGAGTATTGAATGATAATGAAAATATTCATGATATACCGTTCAGTGAAAACAGGCTGGATGAAAATCTACATGTATTTAAACTCAATTTTGTTTGTGTGTATATGTATAGTATTTCACTGATTTTTCTTTCTGTATACTTTTCTGTGTTAAGAATGTTCAACAATGAATATATATATATATATAGTAATCTTATAATACATAAATAAAAGGTTAGTAATAGATATCTCCTGCTTTACAGTCCAATGTGAAATGATAAAGGAAGATGGAGAGGAAAATCTGGGAAATCATGACAGCCACTTGGCACAGTCTGAATCCCACTCCTCAAGCAGCTCTCCAGAAGCCCACTGGGAAGAAGGCCAAGAAGTCATCCCAACTTTCTTTAGTACCATGAACACCAGGTATTCTGTACTCTCTAACATCACTGACAGTTGGATACGAGCTTTCCTTCTGGAAAGTCAATGTTGGTGTTCCTTTCAGGGGATGGCGTATCCTAACAGAATAGAGAATGTGGCATACCAAGCATCTGCTTTACTGTTCACCTTGCCTGAAGCAGTGGATGAGAAGGAACTGGATTGTGAGAGTATACTCTGTCAACAAGTTTTAGCTTGCTTTGGTGGATTGTCTTTGGAAAACGATTTTATTAGACTGTGTTATAATAGAAGAACAGTCACTGGGGCATATTTGTGAGATGAGGTTAAATGATTTGACCTACAGAGGGGCAGCTGTTTTCGTGACTGCCTCTGAACTGCAGAGCATGCTAATGTTGTGTTTTCAATCTTTCCTCCTCTGTATCACCAAATTGTTTAGCTTTAGTGACATTGAACTTCTGGAAGACAGTGGCATTCCCACAGAAGCATTCTTAGCATCATGTTATGCTGTGGTTCCAGTATTAGGTAAGATTGCTGGATTTGCCTTAAATTCATAGTCTCTAGAATCTGTTTCACTGCAGTTATTTTGTAGTAGAAATATGCTGAACTATGTGTACAGTGAGATGACCCTTCTTATCTACCTCTTCATATCACTAGGCACATATAGTTAAAACTGTGTGACCTTAAGCATTATTACATATTTCCATTTCATTTCTAATTATGATTAATATTGATCTTAGAGTTGTGTAATGAAAAAAGGGAATTCTGTTTTCTAGAAATCTTACTTAAGAGCAAAAGTGAAAGTCGTTGAGGAACAGATCTTCAAATCTGTTGGTACTATGAAAAAACATTTTACCAGCTAAAACTTTTTTCAGATTAAAAAAAGATATATATATAACTTTATTTAAGTTTAAATTACATTTACTTTTTATAGAGCCAGTAGTACCAGGAATTGCTAATGTGTTGAAATTTGCTATATAATCCACTTAACTCTGTATCTCTTTTTTAAATCAAGGTATATCTTGCATAGAACTTAACTGTTATAATTCAGTGAGTTTTGACAAATGCATCTACCTATGTAATCCACATCTCTATCAAGGCAGAGAATGTTTTCATCACCCCAGAATGTTCCCTATGCCAGTCAGTCCACAGCCTGTCACCCAGCCCAAGGCAACCATACTGATTTCTGTCACCATAGATTAGTTTTGTGTGTTCTAAAATTTTACATAAGTGGAATCATGTTACGTACTCTTGCATTATTATACTCTTGATAGTATAATGTTTTCACCTTTGTTGTTACATGTATTAGTCGCTCATTCCTTTCTATTGCTGAATAGTATTCTATTAAGTGACTCTACCCCATTTTGTTTATTCATTCTCCTACTGATAAACATTTGGGTAGTTTCTTGTTTGGGGCTATTATAAGTGAAATTGCTCTGAACGTTTTTGTGTCTGTGGGCACATGTTTTCATTATTGAGTAAACACCTAGGGGTGGAATTGCTGATTCATAGGGTTTATACATGTAATTTCATGAAGAGTGGTTGTACCATTGTGTACTTCCAATAGCAAAATATGAATATTCTGGTTGCTTCACATCCTCACTAGCACTTGGTGGTGTCAGTATTTTTGGTTTCAGCCATTTCTGTGAGTGTTTGGTGGTTTTAATTTGTATTTCTCTGGTGACTAATGATGTTGAGCACTTTTTCATATGGTTATCGACCATTGCTATCTCTTCCATTGTGAAGTCTGTTCAAATCTTTAACCTATTTTTAAAAGTTGGTTAATTTTCTTTTTATTATTGAATTGAAAGAGTTCTTTGTATGTTCTGAATAACATTTCATTTTAGACGTACTCATTATGAATATTTTCCCCCAGACTATGACTTGTTCATTTCTTTTCTTAATGATGCCTTTTGAAGAGCAGGGTTTTTAATTTTCATTAAATCCAATTTATCTGTGTTTTCTTCTTTTATAGTTAGTGCTTTCAGTATCCTAAAAGATCTTTGCTTATCCCCAAGGTCATGAAGATAGTCTTCTGTGTTGTCTTCTACACTTTTTATTTTTGATTTTAAGTTTACATCTGTGATCCATCTTGGAATCAGTTTTTTATGTGGTGTGAGGTAAGGGTTGAGATTCCTTCTTTTTTTTTTTTTTCCTTTATCTGGTTGTTCAAGAACCATTTGTTGAAAAAGTATCTTTTTACCCTTTTATATTACCTTGGCAGCACTTTGAAAACCAGTTGACCCTATAAGTGTGGGTCTATTTCTGGACTCTCTTTTGTTTCAACCATCTGTTATTTTTCCTCATCCTAGTATTATAGTATCTTAATTACTGTGTAAGGCTTGAAATCAGATAATGTATTCTTCCAGTTTTGTTCTTCTTTTTCAGGATGTTTTGGCAATTCTAGGTCCTTTGCATGTCCATATAAATTTTAGCTGTTAAAATGAATGTCAGTATTATGACATAGTATGAGTGTGTTTCATGTTTGGTAATTGCAATCATTGTTGCTTTTGTTGTGGTCATCCGTTTACAATGCTTGGTGTCAGTTTATTTATCTCTTGTAAAAATAAAATACAATGTGTGACGGGGTGGGGGGGGGGAGAATCATGGGCCATGCATGCTTCCCATTACTTTAAGGGAAAAAGCAAAGCTGCCCATCCCACTAATTCAACCCCAGAGAGGAAGAAGAGCCCTGATACAGATCAAAGAGAAAAACTAAGACCGTATCCAGGGGTCAGTGTACTAGAGTGGACCTTTCCAAAGATGTGTGGAGGGTATCAAAGTTCCCATCCTCCTTCCATGACTCCTCTTCACTCTCCTGGATAGGATAAGCAAGGACAAAGTGGAGCCCACAGAGTAGGGGGGCATGCAGGTGGCTTCCACGTGGTCCAGTTGGCCAAAGAAAGGAGAGTCTATATACACACTGGGACTAGAGGTTGAAGGGGATTTTTTTTTCCTGTAGGATTCCTGGGACCATACATTCTTTGATAAGCATGTATGACAGTAGGAGGCAGGATAGAATAGCAGTCTGATGGAAGAGCTACAAGGTAACTCCAATTCCATCCTACCCAGTAGTTATGGCCAATAATACAAGTTATCCCTCTTATCATGAAGATGCCAGGAGTCTTAAGTCTTAAACCTTAAAATCAGAGAAATCACAAATATTTCTCTGTATAAATGAAAATAAATCTCATTACATATATCCCAAACATACACAGAAACAGAAAACGACTATGGTTTAGGAATAAAAAAAGGAGTAAGATAGTAAAATGCAGTATTCTGATAAATGTACTGGTTTTCTGTACTAAGCCAGTAAACCACTCAAAACTTAGTGAGAGTAAGTAAAACATAAGTACTACCAACTGATTGTTTTGAATAGATAGAGGCATTTCTGAATAAGACATACTGTATTATATAAGACACAAAAGAGAGCTTGTTCTATGTGTCCCATTGTGATTTTTTTTTTTTGAAGTAATGAATCTTGAAAACCTTTCAATAAACATATGTGATTTTCTTACTATTTCTCTAAAAAAAAAAAAATCCTGTTGGGATTTTGATTAGAATTACACTGAAACTGTCAACCAATTAGTAGGAAATTGGCATCTTAAACAACATTGAGTCTTCTAATCCATGAATGTGCTGTATCTCTCATTTACTTAGGTCTTTATTTTCACAACGTTTTGTATTAATAGCATATAGATACAATTGACTTGTACATTGAGTTGTTTTTTACAATCATGAATGAGTTAATTTATAAAATATATTTTTCTGTGTTTATTGAAATTATCATGTTTTTTTCTTGTACTCAGTGTAATAAATTACATTGTTTGGATGAATTTAAGCCTGCTATCTTGCTGTCTGTTTCTACCATCTTGCTACTTATTGTCTGTTTGTCTCATGTGTTCTTCCTTGTTTACTCCTTTCTTGATTTCCACCCAATTAATCAATTATTTTTTTGTATTCTGTTTTATTTCCTCTTTTAGCTTTTTAGCTACCTATCTTTGTTCCTGCCTTTCTTTTGGATGAGTCAAGTATTTTTTAGAATTTTATTATATTTTCTCTTTTGGCTTTTTGGCTATACCCCTTTGTGTTACTATTTTTAGTTGCTCTTATCCAACAAAAATATTCAGACTACATATATAATTTTATATTTTCTGGCAAGAATATTAAAATTGTAAAGCAAAACAGATAAAACTAATTTTAATAATGTATTGTATCTAACTTGGTATATACAATATATCATCTGAACATGGAATCAATATAAAAGAATCATTATTGAGATATTTGGCATTCTTTTTTTGGTACTGAGTCTTTGAAATCTGGTATATATTTATACTTATGGCATATTTCAGTTTGGAATCGGTACATTCCAAGAGCTCAATAGCCACACATCCGCTGGCTACCGTATTGGAACAGTGCAGCCCTAAGGATTACAATGCGCATTCTAAACTTGTAAGGTTATCCTCACCTGCCCTTAGGCCCTTATTATAGTTACTCACTTCAGAGCAGTGAAGTAGAAAAAAGCAATGACAGTGTGCCAGGAACCTTTGAAGCTTATGTTTAGAAAATGATTTAAAAGCAAAAAATAAAAGTTTGGCGGGGGGTGGGGGGGGCCTGTTAAATTCATTGCTACTATAAAAAATATTTTCCACTTGAAAAAATTGCTTTTTCAAAGATGTTTTCAATCTTTTCTTCTAGACAAACTTGGCCCTACAGTGTTTGCTCCTGTTAAAATGGATCTAGTTGGAAATATTAAGGTGAATATACTGGCTTGTCTCCGTGGAGACTGTATATTTGGAGGGAGTAGTTGCATGAAATCTCATTCAGAAGCAAATGATTGTTGAGTTTTATACTCGGGATGAAAAGTATAGGCCAGCTGTAAGAACCTTTCTCAGAGGAAAAAATACTTTAAAAACAGTACTTTAAAACCCTGAAACTATTTAATTCTAGCTTAAGCCTAATAAGAATCCTCAAACAAATAAAACAGATTACTTGGAAAGCATAAGGACGAAGGTAAGAGAGGCTTAATTCATTTTGATTTCTTAGAGGCCTGGTTGACAAACTTAGGTCTCAACAGTAAACTGACTTGCTTGATAGCTTTAGCACTTTTAACTTAGGTTATTTCCCTGCTTCTCCTGCAGAAAGTAAATCAGAAGTATATAACCAACAAAGAAGAGTTTACCACACTCCAGAAGATAGTGCTGCACGAAGTGGAGGCCGATGTAGCCCAGGTTAGGAACTCAGCTACAGAAGCCCTCCTGTGGCTGAAGAGGTGAGGCAACTGGGGTGGGGCAGCAGTTGAAATCCAGCTTAGTTGAAATGTTACCCCTACCAAAAAAAATTGTTATGCAAAAGAGGCTACTTCTGAGTGAAAGCTGTAACCCATGTATAGCCTTTTCTAGAAGGCCTGAAGAATAGAATATCGACTTTTTTTTGCCTCTGTCTTGATAGTGATAAACATTGTTAATATTAATAGAATATATAAGATAGGAATGATAAAGGACAGTAAAGCCGATTGGTTTGTCTTTAAGTCAGTGGATCACAAACTGTAATGGCATCAGATTCACCTGGAGGGCTTATTAAAAAACACAGATTGCTCCACCCAAAACCCAATTTCTGATTCAGCAAGTCTGGAGGGGAGCTCCAGAATTTGCATTTCTAACAAGTTCCCAGGTGATGCTGAAGCTGCTGGTCCTGGGACCACATTTTGAAAACCGCTGTGTAGGTATTTCAGATAAGAAGCGTCTAGAGCAAGCTAAAGGGAAATCACAGGGAAGAAACTTAGAAAGGACTGCCATGTGACTTGACTTGTTTATGGCTGTGCCCAAGATACTACTGAAAAAGAAGCTGATGTCTGCCATTTATTCATACCCGTTCAACATAAGTGAACTTTGAAAATAATATTTCTTCCTCTTTTTTGTTTTAGAGGTCTCAAATTTTTGAAGGGATTTTTGACAGAAGTGAAAAATGGAGAAAAGGACATCCAGACAGCCCTGAGTAAGTGTTATTTACATTTTGGTTGATTAATTGAATAGGATGTGGAATGGAGACCCCTGGAGGAGGAGATAGGGTGTGCTTTTCAAGATCTGATTTTGGTATTTTTCTATTTCATTATTATTAATTGTTTGTTTCTTATATGCTTTGTTAAAAAAGAACTCAAGATAGTGACCTGGTAGTCTAGATCTAACTTATTATAAATCAGTATATCTTAAAGAAGAGCTATATTAATAGAGAGCCATCTTTTAATCTTAATAGGAAAACCTAATATTTTTAAGAAGTCAGTTCTTCCTAAATGAATCTTGAGATAACTGTGTAGTTTTCTAAAATCCGTATCCAGAGGGAAGCTAGTTTTGGAGACCATAAAAGGGAGGGTGTGGGGAACCCCAGGATTTGCTCTGAAATAAGATGAAGGGCTGGTCATCATCTTGTATTCCTCAAGTGCCCTATGTGCCCCATTTTTGTGGTGGTAGTTGAGATTCGGATGAAGGCCTTGGTCAAAGGAGATCGTCCGACATCTCCAGCATCTTAATGCAGTGACTGGAACATTGTAGGTACTTAATAAACATTGGGTGGGTGGGTGGATAGATGGATGGATCAATGCACCTATCGGACCACTTTTGGAAAACATTGAAGACTTGGAAGCATCCTCATAGTGCCACTAACAGACTGGCTAAACTCTCAATCTTGGTCTCTAGGAAATCCTTCCAGGATGGGCATTGAGGTGAGCAGATGGGAGTGAGATTTCCATATTACTTTGAAGCCCTGTATTATTATGATGTAGAGAAGCACATGGTCAGGCTCTAGGCAGTCATGATTATAAATGATGAAATGAATGAGTTAGATACTTCTGCTGGGGAGGAGGAGCCAGTGTTCACACAGCATTTTATCAATGTCAGGGGTGAGTTCTTCCTTTTGTTAGTCCTCCCTTTGGGTCATGAGTCTTGAGGGATCCTGCCCCTGTGTGATTTTCCCAGGCCTCCCTGTATAGAAATTTGCTAATGTGCCGTGAAACAATAAAAGCTGATATTTCTGTAACACTGTATAAAAAATTTAGACAACCTAGTCCTCACATCAGTCCATTTTTACAGGTTAGGTAACTGAAATTCTGAAAGATCAAAAGACACGCTAAGGCCACAAAGGATCTGAAGCAGGGTCATTTTGGGATCCTCAGCTGTAAGGTCCTCATTTCTCCCACAGGAGGTCTTCTCCACCATCCCTGAGCTACCTGCATTTTGGGGTTTCTCATACATCTTTGAATTTCCAGGACTGTCTCAGTTATATCCTCCCCTAAGCGTCCTGATTTCAGTATTAAAAATATATTCACCATGACTATTAGGACTCCCTAACCAGTCTCTATCAAACTTGATGACTTTGTGGAGTGATTAAGATCATGGGCTTTCTGGATACGTGCCCTTAGGCAATTTACTTAACCTTTGTGTGCCTCAGTTTCCTCATCTGTAAAATGGGAATGATGACTTGATTTCCCTAATAAGATTGTTGTAAAGATTAAATAGGTTTATGCATGTGAAAAGATTAGAAATTTGGTACATAATAAGCACTTAATAGAGGTTAGCTTCTATTGTTGTTTATATTCTCATCATCATGACATATACAAAGTTGATAACCTACCAGAAAATGGGACTTATTTGTCCCAAATCACAAATGGAAAGTTACCAAGCTCAGCTGCCAAGCCTGAAATTTCTCTCCAGGCTGACTTCTTAGTATGGAAGCTTCACACTGGTAGGAAGACTCCACCACCTGCAGGAAATGCAGAAGATATGGGATTCAGCACTGTGTGCGTGGTGGACTCCACATGTCACAGGATGCTACTGCTTTCTGATGGCTGGCTGTGTGAGGGCAAGTGGGGAATGCTAATCTCATTACCCCTCTGCTGGAGCTGGGATAGAGGAGAACCCAGCTGCTTACCGGACACAGCAAGTGAAAAGAAAAGCTTTGCCCCTTGGAGGTGGAGAGGCAGTTGAGGATATACCCTTTCTGCCCTGCCCCCATCCCTAATTCTGCTCCCTTTCCTCCCCTATCTTTTACTTGATTTGAAAGCTGGGCCTAGAGATGTTGACTTTATGAAGAGAGAGGAGACTTGAAGGGCAAATGCTGCTTCAAAACTGGAATAGTCACAGCCAATCTCAGCTTTTCCTTCCTTTTCTTCCCCACTTGACTGTTTTCAGTGGAAAGGAAAAGGGACCATAAATTTGAGATTTTCATCCTTGATGCTCAGGATTATTTCAGAGGTCTTCATGATTTAAATCGTCTTTGCTTACCGGGATCCCTAGTTTCCTGCTGCTGTGCAATGTGGAGAGATAAAGCTCCCCTAACCAGCCCCCTTCCCTCTAAACACGGACACAACAAGTTCTGTGCAAGCAAATAAGAGAGATTTATGAGAAATGTTTACACATTAACTATGCAGAACCCACAGGCTGCTTGTTGCCTATTTCTTGTGGATTGCTGGCTTTTTTCTCATTTTGAAATCACAGGCTTTATAAGCAGAACTGATATTTTGTCTAAAATGAGATAGTTTAGGTATGTAAGTGAAAGAGTGGGTATGTGCAATTTATATGCCACATATAGGCAAATTAGCTTGCATTTTTTATTCTGAAATTGAATTTGAGTTATTGTAATAACAGCTACCATTTATAGAGCACCCAGTGTTGGCATAACACTAGGTTCTCCGTAAACATTTTATTTAATCTTCTGAGTACTCCCCTTTTACAGCAAGTAAACTGAGGTTTAGAGAGGATAAGTACTTTCCCGAGGGTCTCAGATCTAGATCAGTGGTTCTCAAAGTGGTCCAAGGACAGCAACATCTTCATCACCTGGAGACTTATTAGAAATGCAGACTACTGGGTCCCACCTGACACCTGCTGACTCAGAAACTCCCGAGGTGGGGCCCAGCAAATGCGTGTGTTCACAAGTCATGCAAGTGATTCTAATTCATGCTCAAGTGTGAGACCCGTTCATCTAGAGCTGCGATGTTGAAGCTCACCTGTCACTAGGCTACATTTGGTTATTTGGGAATTTTGACTGCATCTAAGTGATTATTAAATAAGCAGGAATAAAAGTACTGAAATTAGTTACCCATAGCATCAGTTAATTTTGCCTCCTTTTCATGATAATTGGCTGGTTACCCAATGGCTGAAAACTTTTCTTAACCTAGGAAGAGCAAGACAATTAGTAGGGATAAAATAAGGGTAAACCTTGGATGACACTCCCAAATTTGAAAACACTGCTTAAGAAAGGTTTTGAGGTAACTGCTCATAATTTTGGATAGTCTTAGTGGCTTTGAAAATGGGAGATGATATGTAACAGTCCTAAATGACACAACGGAAGCCTTGACATCTATTAACTCTCTGGAAAATGCATGTATAGTCATTGTATTGCTGCAGTTCTGTGACCTAGAATGAGTTTTCAGCAATCAGAAGGAGGCCTTGGGCTTTATACTGCCCCCTTTTGCATTTGAGCCATCACCTGAATTCCCCATAATGATGATCAGAGTGGAATATTTTGGGTGGTCTCATGCCAAGAGCTGCTCTGAACTCTAGTGTCCTCTGACATTCTCTAGAGATCACTCTAAGGAAAGAGTTGGGTACACAAGGCAAATGTGTTTAATGGCCCACCCTGTAGCTGAGCCCCTCCCTTCACAGATGCCACATCAAGAAGAGGCTTTGGAAAGCATCTTTGTAAGTGAAATGAAGAGAAGTTGCTCTGCCATTTCATGCACCATTGTACTAAATATTATGTGTTCTGCACTATTCCCTCAGTGGGATAGCATATTGCCACATCCCTCACCTCGGAATGATTCCGTAAATGTCAGGTAAACATTAACCTAACCAAGGTCTGTAGCACAGAATAGGAGAAAAAAAAAAGGTAGAGGAGGCTCACTTATGCATTTAATATGAAAGGCTTTCACAAACAAGGAGAGCTATATGAGAGAGATGAAGTTAGAACTCATAATCAGATATTTGACATCAAATCATAACTTGACTAATTATTCTGAAAGGACCAGGGAATGTGAATCAAGTCATGCCCTTTCCAGAACTATTAACAGCATGTGCTTCTAATGGCAGAATTGGCTTACAGTACAAGTTTTCTTCTCGATGGTGCCTGAAGGTAACAAAGGATATCTCTGGGTACTTGTTCCATCTCTGTCAACTGGTTATTGAGTTGGCTTTTCTCCATACAATTCATTTTGCCCAAAGCTTAGTCACTGTAAAGAACTTGGGGGTACTTTCCTCGTAGTAGGTTTTTTTAAATTATATCAAATATTTATCATTTGACCAAATATGTAAATACAGTACCATCTACTACCTCATAACCCCATTACTTCCAGAGAAGATCTTCATCCAGAATTTGTAGTTTATCGTTATATAATGAATGTTTTTATACTTTTACTATATATTTATGTGTCCACAAACAGTATCTAGTAATGTATTGCATGTTTTAAACTCATGTACATGGTGTCACATTATACACATTCTTCCTTTTTCACTCAGTATTTTCAGATTTATTCACTGCTTATTCACTTTCAAACCTTTCTTTGTTCGTGATTCTTGCCTAAGGCCTTCCTAGTTTAGCTCATTTGCAGAACTGAGATGATTGTCACTTCCTGAGCTCAGTGAATGATTGATTTCACCTTTTCTGGCTTTGCTTGTCTACTTCTCAGGCTGTCTCCTAAGACTTAGATTTGCATTTCTCCTTTGCCCTCTCTACAACCCAAAGTAACTTTGCAAATTCTCACTAATTATAGATTTACAATAGAGAAACACTCTCATATATTCTGTTCCTGGACAGAATAGCTATCCACCAACAGTAATGGAAAGGTAGTTCTTGTTCAGATGCTATGATAGGTTGAGGCATAATCTCTAAATACCTCATAGAAAGTTTTTGACTAACCATTAAAGAAGTCACATCTGCATCTTTATGAATAGAATAAGGTTCCAATTTTTTCAAGATGTGGCTGGGAAAAGGCACGTTTTTCATTTTCATTATTTTGTTTTATCACAAAGAATAAACATTAGTTTTGTCAAAATGGTTTAATGTGACAAGAATGCCCCAAGTTCTCATTGCTTTTAGCTTTGTGACCTTGGGCAGGTAACTCTCTCTCTGGGTCTTCTATTTTTTCATCTGTAAGAGGAAGAGAATTGGGCAAGGTGATTGTCAACACTTCCTACTTAGAAATTTTGACTCAGTTTCTAAGGAACTGACAGATTTCAGAGAACTGGGAGAAAGGAATCATTTATGTCTTTCAGAGGCCAAAAATACTTCCAGATTATAGAACATGCATTATGATAATGGATGGGTATTATAGTGAAGATTAATGTATTTCATTATCTAATCTTCTCTGGGTAACCAAAATAGGTCAATGCTTAGACTTCATCCTAATTTAATGCAGCCTCACATGGCAGGGATATTTGCAGCCCTAGAAGTCAGCTAAAGACTTGGGGCAAGTCCTTTTCATTTATGAGTTTTATTTTATTTGTTGGTTTTCAATTGTGGAGGTGGTCTTCCTAGGCCTGAGTCAGGACCTAGCCTAAATTCTCTGCCTCCCTCTTCTCCCATTAGACTTACTGGCCCACATTTTGCCCAGTGGGACTCTTCTCTGGCAAGATGCAGGCACAGCAAGGAACAACTGCCTTCTCTAGAAGGGCTGGGGGGAGACACAGATCGTGTTGCTGTACAAACACCCTCCCTTCCTTAGACCAGCCTGCCCCTCTTACTTGGACTCACAGCATCCTTGTTTTCTTGCTGTCCCATAGAAGGGAGCATGGAGAAGGGTTTCTGGGCTTTTTTGAGTGGTTGACTTCACAGGCAAAGTGTAGGAAAGGTATAAGGCCCCTGAGGTTGGAGTAGCACTGGATCCAGAGCCCTTATAAACAGGCAGTTTGTCTGCCAGGTGAACTCTGGAGCCGAAGGCTCAGGGACCAGGACAGCGGTCAGCTGCATTTGCTGCATACCGTAAAGAAATACTGATCTCCTTTTACTTCCCTACCACAATTCCAAATCAGAATGATGGTGACTGTTAGTAGAAGAAAATAATACTGTCTGTATAGGAAAAAAGACTTAAGAGAATATACCTCCAGAATGCCCTCTGTGGTTACCTCTGGGAGGCATGATTATAGGTTTCTTTAGTTCTTCCCTTTTTGCATTTTCCTGAACATTATTTGTGAAATCAGAAAAAAAGCAGTAAGTGTTATTTTAAACTACCACTGTGCCTCAGGTGGGAAGTTTAGAATCCTTGACACGGCATAAAAAAAGTCCTCACAGTTTGGCCCCATCCCCAGTGATCTGCAGCCCTACTGGACTGTTCCCCCTTCATGCCACCATCTCTCACAACTCCATGTAGCTTTCTCTGTCTGCAGCCCCAGGTACCACCCTACTCTCTGCCCTACCCAGCCTTTGAGACTCCTTTGGAGAATTCTTTCTGTGCACTTGCTCCCAGGCTGGATTCATCTCTCTTTTCCTGTAGCACTGGATAGAGATCTCTGTTATAGCAGTCGGCAATTTGCATAACGATGATTTGTTAAAGGCTGGCTCTCTTAAAAACCCATGAACTTCCTGAGGGCAAGGGACTGAGTTTAAAGCACCCAGTGATCCCTGCTGCCTTGCACTTAGTAAGGGGCAGTGGTAGACTCGCACTAAGTTCTTGCTGAATGGAGCAGCTGTTCCCATCACAGATGTCTACGAGCAGATTGTAATGGCACTAAATTTCATCTACTGATTTTTAATAGCATTTAATACCTTACATGGATTAGGATCACAAGAAAGAAAGTGTTCCCACTATACCTCTGTGACTCACCTCAGGATGTTTTCCATGGACTGTACACCTTCTTACCAGCCCAGATGGCTCCTTAGACGGTCAGAAATTTGACTGTCTTACTGATTTACTGCGGAGGCTGTGCCTAGTATTTCCTGCCCGTCTGCACCTGTATGCTAGCAACCCTTTCTTCACTAAGGTCTTAGATACCATCTAAAATGTCCCTGATAACATCTGTCCCCTTAGAGAATCAGATAGGTTTTAAGTGTGGCTTACATTGAAGACTTGTATCTTTGACACTGTCTTAGCCTACAGACTGTTCTCCTAAGAAAAAGATTGAATTTAATCTTGAGTTCTCCTTTAGGCTATTTCTAAGAGTCCTTTGTGCCCTTGAATTTATTGATTTTTATCATTTCTGCTTTAGCTTCACCACACTGGATGCTGGCATTTCAACCCATTCCTAAAACTTGAGATAGCCAGCGAAATCTGCTGTTAGAATTCAAACGTACAGTCTTCTTTATACAAAATATAATGTATTTTATGCAAACTTGAATTATGTAAAATTGATACATGGTATGCTAAAAGTATTAATAAAGCCTCACCCAAATTTTAAAAATAGAAATTGACAAGAATTACATCATTTCAAAGCTAGAGAGCTTGAATAAATTGTAAAGTGTTCAAGCTACAGACACATGGCAGTGCTGTTTTGCCCAGTAAAATGCAGATACCTGATGTTCTTTGGCAGTATTCTGTGAACCGCACTGCTTTTTACTGCATAGGAGCCTGTGGTTGTGGATTTGGTGTCTTTTTTTTTTGTTATTTTAACATCTGCTCTTGTTATAATTTAAAATGTCTTTATATCCTATTACAGTGTCGCCCAAGCATTGATTAAATGGTTGATGGTGGTGCTTGTACTAGTGTTGAAACTAGCCCATGAAAATAAATAAGTTTGGAATAAAATTTAGATGTGGTAAAACATGATAAAGAAGGTCAAACAACCCCTATGATACTCTGTGCTGTAATTTAGGAGTGTGAGGACTCTGTAGACCACTGGAGATGATGCTGAGAAAATAAAATGGAGCATTGAAATAAAAATGCACTGTGGTGATGTAGAGCTGTGCCCTCCTGAGAGCGCATTTATTCCTGTGGAAAAATCAGTTTTGAATTTTGCATATATTGAATTATTCAAAGCCTTCAGGAACACATCCCTTGCATAAAATACAGTCATCTTGTTCTCGAGATTTTTTTTTGGTAATTAAAATTATTATATAGCAGTTTTTAAATCTCCTTTTAAAAAACTCACTGGGACAAAAATAATAGGTTTTTATCTTTAAAGTCTAGAATGTGAATGACTTTTATCAATAGGCCTCACCATATACTTTATATCTACCTTAATAACTTCAAGCTGTTCTTTCCATAATAGTTTTAAAGGTTTCTCGCTTTAAAACTGTATATCCAGGGTCATAGGGACATCTAGGACAAGCATTTGACATCCCAGAATAGAATGTTAGAATTGAAGAGAACCTTAGAGTTCATTTTACAAAGGGGGAAACAGATGGTTAGAGAGGTCAGCTAAGGGACTGGCTCAGGATCACACAACATTTCAAAGAACTGCATTTTTATATTTTTATAGTGTATTTTAAATTGTATTTAGTCTCTATATTACAGTATCTTTTCCTCCCTCTTTACTTCCTTATATGTATTGAATTTTCCAACCATGATAATAAGCTGAAGTTGAGATATGACACAGGGTACGAGTGGAAATACCAATTCTTCTTTAAAAAAAAAATCTCTGTAGGCTTTTTTCCTACTCAAGACTTTTGGGGTACATAATCTCATAATTCAGCCTTTTTTATCAGTTTCTAATACCAATAGGAATGTGCTACTACATACATTAGAAAGGACATGATACAAATAGCACATCAAATTCTGATGAAATTGTTCCTCATGGAGTTTTTCTTCTTTTCAAGATAATGCATATGGTAAAACATTACGGCAACACCATGGCTGGGTAGTTCGAGGGGTTTTTGCGGTAAGTAATCCTTCTGCCTCCTAATGTTCTGATGGTCACAGCAAGGTGTTTTGTTTTGCTTTGTGTGTGTGGTGTTTCTGTTTGTTTTTGAGAATAAGAACGAAATATTGCTTATTTCATTTAAGTCTATAGGTCTTTGTTGTATGGAAATGTTGGCAATTAAAAGTAAGAAAAGACTGTTAGAATGTGCTTCACCTTATCTAGTTCCAGTGACCCTGAGAAGATTTGTCTCAGAAGTGGTTGCCTTCTGATGTGGTAGTAAAGAGTGTCAGTGTAGAGATAGGCAGGAAGCTGTCAAATGCTCACCATTGAGGGGAAACCAGTGGTGGTTTCAAGCCCATAGCTCCCTCTGCTGCCTGTTAAAGTCAATCCTGTTAATTCTCAGATTTTAGTCAGGTTTTTTTCCCCTAAATTGAATTTTGTCTTGAATATTAACTGACCTGGATTGCCAGTGGCTAGGACTAGAAATATCTTCTTACCCAGTTATTTTCTTTATGGAGGTGTTTGTATTCATATGTTTGGGCTCCTGTTAGCTACCGCTCCTTCCTTCCTTGCATGACCTAGGAAGAGCACACACCTGAGAATCATAGTCCCCCGGACAAATCACTTAGCCTGCTTTGTGAAATAGAAGGAGAAGATGGCCCCTTTATGTCAGCAGTAATACTCTGTTGTTCTCTCATCTGGGGAGAGGTCAGCCTTAGTCAGGTGCAGCCATGAAAAGGCAGAGTCTCATGTAGTGGTACAGTAGGAAATGTCATAGAGTATGAGTGTTGTTTGGAAGGTCGGGGGATTAAAAAGAGCCTTGCAGATGATGGTCTTTTACTAATTTAAAGCATGGGAGACATCATTTGCCTAAGGTAAGAACTGTTCAGGTCATGATTTACTAGGAGGCAGGTAAAGAAAGTGGGAAGAATTTACCGTGGAAGAAATCAAATTTTAGTGAAAACGAAACATTTTTGAAAGCATAGAGATGACTAGCTCTGTGTCCTACTGTTCACTGGAATAGGAGCCAGACCAGTTGCAGCCACTGACTACTCACACTTACCTTCAGTGCGTGTTTAATAACATAGTAATAGTTGCCATTTGGCTGTTGGACACTTACTGTGCATCAGGCACTGTGCCAGGTACTTCTGTGTTCACTCTCTTTGGTAATCCTCAGGATTAACTCCCACTGTTGTACAAGTTCAGAACTGTTTGTTCCAGTCCCAGAGTGAGGCAGTGGCGGAGTCCAGGTCTAAACCCAGATCTGCTGTCTCCGAGGCTGGTGCTCATCCCACACATCACAGCTCTTCACAGTGAAGACAGACTAACTGAGAAACTGCTAGTGAGAAATGAGGCAAAGGATGCTGCTGCATTCATCAGTCTCCCTGAGTAAATACTGTGATTGCCTGCAGGTGCCTCACACCCGCGTTCCCTTGGTGAGGTGACAGAGCATGAAAACACTGAGTTGCACCATTTATAAGAAACATAAATGTGGTTTGGGGTGGTTGTTTTTTTTCAGAATAGAGGACAGAGTTTAATCCTGAAATATTATTGATGATCCGAGATGTTGCCAACAAGAATGAAGCTATAGCACAAAATTTATCATAAGCATGAGTCTTTAAAAGAACATTTTAACTTACAGGATTTTTCCCAATATATAGTAATGTAGACTCATTGTAAAAAAAAAATTTTTTTTAATTATGGAAGAATAGAAAGGGTAAAAATTAAAATTGTCCATAATCTCACCACTCTACAATAAGGATTTTTAACATTTTTGTGTTTTACCTTCTTAGCTCTTATTTTCATATACTTTTACATATTCTCTTCAATATGGTTCTATTTCATTTCATATATTTATATAAATATCTACTTATAGATACTTATATTTACATGTTTATTTTATGTGTATAATTACCTTTATTTTGTATACCTACTCTGTATATGCATATAAATTTTTTGACATTTAGCTGGTTGTATAATTTTGTATTCTTTTTCTCCACTTTTTAATTTTTTATATTTTCTAGTTTTATGGAGAAATAATTGACAGACGTTACTGTATGTTTAAGGTGCACAGCATGATGGTTTGATTTACATGCATTGTGAAATGCTTACCACAATAGCTTCAGCTAACATCCATCTTCTCATATAGATACAATTCAAAAAAAAGAAAGGAAAAAATGTTTCTCCTTGTGATGTGAACTCTTAGAATTTACTCTTGGAACAAGTTTGCTGTGTATCCAACAGCAGTGTTAGCCGTAGTCTTCCCCACTTATTTTTAGGGACTGCATAATATTTCCCTAGTATGGAGGTACCGTAATGTATTTGCCCAAATCTCTGTGTTGGAAATTTCAGCTGCTTCTAAATTTGTTTTTACAGACAGAACAGCATCTGTTTTTATGCATTTTTGACTAAAACAGTTATTTCCTCAAAATAGGTTCCTAGAAGTAGAATTGCTATGTCTAATACCAAGAAACTACAGCCACAACTTAGAATTGGAGCACTTACCATGCACTAGATGTTGTTTTAAGTGCTTTACTTACATAAAGTTATTAATCTCATAACTCTGAGGTAGGTTCTCTTATTTTCCCTGCTCATAGACAAAGAAACCTGAAACACATAGAGGTGAGGTAATACACCCACAGTTATAGAGAAAGAACATTTTGAAGACTTGATATTATTGCCAATATTTTTTCAAGTTGCTGGTTTTTAAGAAAATAGATTATGTTGAGCATTTGGCAACAGCCTTTTCAGTAGAGGAGCTACCTTTCAGTGTCTCTCCTGTTATTCTCTAAGTCTTCCCTACTTTGGAAAGCTTATTGAGTTTTCTAATGTGCTAATTAAAATTATCAGGAGCAAATTCATTTAACTAATCCTGGTTGCTCAGGGAAATGGCTTTTACGCTCAAGGAATTTGACTTATTTACCAGACAAACAGTGAACTTTTATCTTCAAACAGTTACCGTCTGTGGAACTGATGGCCAGTCTAGGCTCTGCCTCTTTCTGTGGCTGCGTTTGGCCTCATCTTCAGTTGAGTTCTGTCATCGTTTCCCAGATAGACTCGGCTGCATCACAGTCCACTAGGAGTCTTTAAGAAATCTGTAGTCCTGGGTTCCACTCTGGAGAAACTTTAAAAAATTTTTTCTTTTACTTAAATATATATACACAGAGTTTTGTTTTGTTTTTTATCACAGAGTCCAAAAAGGTTATAACAGAAAATAGCAGTTTGTTCCATACTTCTCAGACTCACTAAAAGAGGCTGCCACTTTCAACTGCTTTGACTATTTCTTCCAATACCTCTGTAGTTCTAAAACGATTTACTGTTCTTTGTGGACTTATCAGTGTTAATCGCTGTTGATTTCTGTTATAGGTTAGAAATTAGCTCTCTTAGACCTTACT